AAACCTGCATGCCCATGTGTAGCAGTGAACTAATTCCCTACTTAATTAACTTTTACCTTTCCATTGGTAGGGGAGAGAGCAAGTGGCTGTGTGGAGCTTAGTTGTTGATTTGAGTAAAATTATGACAGTTCTCTTTAGACACCCAAAGTGAAGCTCAAAGGGTTTGAGATAGTGATGAATCTGATTGGGGTTTACTAGATTGAATTGATATGTGTTAGTGCTGTTTAGCTAATTAAGACATTAGTAAAAGTACTATTTTTGGTAGTCATAAGAGTCCTGCAATGATTTTGAAAGAATAATGTTAAGGTGCAGTTCTACAAAGTATGACGTAAACTGTATACGATGAGGAGTTATTGCATTTATTAGGTCATTATCAGTATAATGATTAAGAATAACTCTGTATCATATAGATAAAAGCAGAATGGGAGTCAAGTATAGCATGAGCATGCAGATTCGCTGTTGCTTAAATTTTCTGCTTCCTTATGGTAAGAGAATTCTTCATAAACTTAAAGAAAAGTACATAATCTCAATGATTTGGGCCCAAACTGCATGCTCCAGTGGGCTTATTCACCCCTCTACTATCATATTTGAGGAACACATGTCCAAATTTATGCTGAAATAGCATCATTTATATTACTATTTAGCAACAGCATATAATGATTGCTGCTTACTTCTTCCCTTATAGAAGGAACTTGGTATAAAAATAATTCTTTTATTTACTTTCCCATTCTGAATGCTCTTACTTTTCCAGTTTGTCTATTTACCTATAATTGACAAGCTATTGCAAGCAATTAGGTATTCTCTAGTTGGCTGGCCTTTGCAAAGAAGATTCTTGGAGGAGATCAAGAAAATTAACTACTACATATTTCTTAGCGTGAAATTCCCAATAAAGCAATACAAAGCAAATATTCTTATATTAAAGATTAAATAATACATGTTCTTTGACAGTAATTGAATGTATTTTCAAGAGAGGTTTAATTTTGATAGATTAATATTTTTCTATTTTATCACTGTTTGTTTCCTCTTTGTCTCAAATAGTAAATATTTCATACTACTAACACTTTAGGGTTGACACAACAGTGAGAGCCAGATTAAAGGCCTCTAGCTGCAACTTTAATAAGAAATATTCCTTAAATAAAGTTAATTTTTACACAGTGGTTTTATATCCACAGGAGTAATATTCACACATATGTCATCATAGTTGCAATGGCAGATACCCCATGTCCCCCATCAGTCCTAGTCCTGAAAGGATCAAATGCTATTGGTTAAAATGCCTCCATAATAATCTCAGAATAACTATTGATGTCATTAGAATCTGTCTAGGCTTTGCATCACCTCTTTAATTTTGAACTCTGAGATAAGACTTGCAGACTGAATTTTAGAAGGGATTAGCTGCTTGGGTAAATACCTGAACATCTAACCTATAGGTCCTTTGAGAAATCACATTGATGAGATTTACATGACTAAGTGTTTTGGAAAATCTACACCTATCTTCAACATATAGAAATGCTTTTCACAAGTCTTAGGGCTTAGGCATCTTTAATAACATAATCAAGAAAATATATTAAAAAAACCAGAAAAAATTTCTTGACTACAGCACTATACTGTCCAGAAGAGTTGTTTTGTGCTTTTTTTTTAACTTTTCTACAATGAAATACACCATGGACATACAGTGAGAAAGGAGCAAGCCTTGGAGTTCAGAGGACGACAAACATGCTATTCAAAGAAAATATTTTTCTTACCACAAAATACTGATCATCAAAAATACTGACAGTATTTTTAAAGAACAAAGCTTTAAAGAACAAAGCTGCTATGCCCTTCTGGGGTTTTTTGGTTTGAGACAACATGAAAGGAGCAGAGGTATGAGGCAGCTCATTCACAGCCTAGCCCTTTTTCAGGTGAAATCAGAAGTATGATTCTTTTCTGTTGAGGTATTAAGAAGGTGGACATCCCAACATCATCTTCATTCACAGTTTATCATTTTATCATATAAGTTTCAGTGACCTTCTTTTCAATTGATATAAATGTAAATAAAGTAAGAAAGAATTAATTCACAGTGGCCTAATATTCCTGTCCAAGAAGCTATTTGTGTTTTTAACACATTTGTAAAAACACACCTTTGAGATCTGTTTAGGTTCAGTGCATAGCATTTTTTTATCGGTTCCTGTCAGTCCTCTTAACGCTAACTCTTTCTTTTTGCAAACATTAATTCTTCAGTTAAAACATAAATTAACTTCAGGTCTAGGGAAAACTGGCACTTACGGAATGGAAGATAGAACTCTTACCAGAAGCCAGTGACTAAGTCTCAAAGGACTGTTGCCCAGTACCTCTGATTTTAGAAAAAAATTGGTATTTTGGGGAGTGGATTAAGAAGAGTGGCAGAAGGGAGTACCTGTTTCACAAAGAAACACATGACTTAGCAGCAAAATAGACTTCACCTTGGTGATGAGCCATCACAGGACGTGACTGGTTTGACTGCATTTAAGAACAAGTGTATGGTGTTTTTGCATATTTATTATCCTCAGAATAACATCCTGAAAATAGGAATTTGCCATATGAAAGAAACTCTTCTGGTTACAAATTCGGTGGTTTTTAGAGTTGTTGTGTATTACACACTTTGAAATAGACCTACTTGTTTTCACTGATGTTTAACATTAAAGAAATGCACTTCTGAATCTAAAAAATTCAGTGACCTTTCCTTTGACTTCAAAGATATGCTCTGCCCCTAAAGAAAATGAAGGAATTATTCCAGAATATGATGCACTTTTTCTCATGTCCTCCATATAGATATTTATCAGTAAACTGCTTAAAATATTTCAACAAATCTGACGAGTGACAAGATCAGTCACTGCTCTTAAAGCTGAGCTGTGGAAGACAGTTACAATTTTTAGATTATTCCATTAGTTTCAAAAGGAGTAAATTAATAATTTACATTAAGGTCACTGCTAATTACAACATTAGCCTTGCAAAGTTTAAAAGTTTGAATAACTCACTGGAGTGAGTTCTGAAACAAGGAAATTCAAACTGATTTTAATACAGAGTAAAACATATGCATTTGTGCATTTAGATTGGTTATAGCTGGTCATTTTTTTATTGGTTTGTTTGCTTTCTTGCATGTTTTTGTTGTTTTGTTTGGGCTTTTTTTTTGTTTTTTGCAGGGGAATTACATGTAAAGAGCAGAGATGGGCTGTACAGTCAGTCATGTAATGCACTCACTGTATGCCATTTCTATACAAATCCTGTAATTTACTTGATTTCTGTTCAGGTATCCATATTCTCAAAATTATATTTGAAAAGTCTTCATCCCAGATGAGTTTTAAGTATTCTTTACTCATACAGTCAAATTTCTTAAGACTAGTTTCTTCCTCTGGCTCCACAAACTGATATGTTCTTGTTGCTGCTGAAGATGAATAGATCACACAGACACAGGTCGAGGTGTGGTGAAAAGAAGACCAGGGATTGGATGGTCAGGATAACACTTTCTCACTGCACTGGCCATGAGAGATGCCCGTCACAGGACGTGTAGCAGAAAGAATGTACACATATCTATGTTTACAGTTATTGTCCTGGGAAAGTCCTTAGAAAACCATGTCAGCAAGCCCAGAAGCTGAGTTTTCAGGGCGACATGTTCTTCCTGGAAACAATCAATCTTCTCCTGTTTGGACAGTTAAGATTCTTCATTTCTAATTATTGCAGGACTAAACCAAAGACATGGTAAATTTCAGCCTCCTAAATATATATATCTTAAATTTTACAGCCCTTCATACTTGCAACCACCATAAGATTTTATGAAGAGAAGCATGTTGAATACTTACGTAAACATTGCCTATATAGTTTTAGTGCTGGGGGTGCATATACTAGGGATGCATATTGACAGAAAAATTGGTGGGAAAAACTGAGGAAAAGGGCTTTTGAACTTTTCCCTCTTCAAAAAACTAATATCTCAAGATATGCCCAAGAAATGTTAGTATAGGTATTACATATAGTCAAATCCCATGTGAATATAATGCAAATTTTCAGATCAATTTGATTAAACTTTCATCCTTTATTACGAATATTTCAAAATTACATAATGGCATGCCAGAATTCTACAGGTGAATTTTTTTTGCAACAATATCAAAGACTCAGATGAGTCTTTGATGTTCTTTGAAGGAACAGCTAGGATTAAGGTTCATAACCTACCCTGATTATTGTTATCTAATTACTATTACTTGAGTCCTACTTTACCAAAAACACATAATAAAAAACTCCAAACTCTTAAAAAATTTTAATATTTAATAAAATGTTTCATACAGGCTCAAAACCAGTGAATTTAAGTGTTTTGCATTATAGAGCTTTTATTTGTGCTAATTTTTAAATGTCATTGATATCTGCAAACCAATTCAAGCCTGAAAATATGTTTCAAGAACTACAGAGGTATATATTTGGAAATGGTGACCCATAGTACAAATATTGAATTGTATACAATGTATTGAAAGTTTACATTGTATACTTTCATTTCTGAGATAATTTAAACATTCATTTATGAAAATTGCAATTAAAACTGCACTCTATCATCTAAAGTGAAATCCTTTGCAGTAAGAGTGGTGAGGCCCTGGAACAGTTTACCCAGAGGAGCTGTGACTGCCCCATCTTTCAAAGAGTTCAAGGCCAGGCTGGATTGGGCTCTGAACTACCTGGGCTGGTAGAAGGTGGCCCACAGTGGGGGAGCTGGGACTAGAAGATCTTTAAGGTGACTGCCAACCCAAATCAATCTATGATTTTATGATAATGAGATCTGTAGGAAAATTCAGAAACATATTTAATGGAAGGAAAAATAGAACTGCGTCTATCTTTTCATTTGCTAATTGTTCCTTTAAGATATGTATGAAGTGTTGCAAGATAATAATTCTTTCTAACTGTACCTATCAACAAATAAAAATATGTGTATAAAGGAAACCATGGTATTTGACAGCGACTGTTACAACCAGTAATATCAAATGTTTCTTAATCTTTTTTAGATCTCTGTCCTGAGACAAAACAACAGGATGTGCCTTGGAGAAGAGTAAGTTAAATAAGTCTTTGTCTTTGGTATATTTTCATTGTAATAATAACAATTGGTTACCATACATTGACTGTCAATGGAATAAATCTCTTATGCATTTATTTTTAAAATACTTAGCCACTCCCACTGCACTGTTTATACAGACTTAACCTTGATTTAAGTAAGTAACTTTTTCACGAGGTTTTTTTCAGAAGTAACTTTTTATTGAGTACATTGAACTTAAGCCTTAAGACTTTTTAGTAAATTACCCTCAAATATTTAAGCAACAACAGACAACACTCCTAGATTATTTTTTTCCTTCAGGTAACTTTCCTCTAGAAAAGAAAACTGAAATAATAAGTTATTCTTAAAAAACCAAATTGTATGTGTTAAGCTACCTATTAATCACTGATCTCCTTTATCTCTGCCTGAAATTGTTGTCAACTCTGTAGTGCTTGGAAAGTTGCTTTTTAGCAAAGTGCATTTTTCACAAAGTTGTGAAAAAAAATTACATAGACCTAATATACAATTTATATCTCTCTCACACACACATACTTAGTGAGCTTTAAATGGAGAAATTTTCCTATCCAATTTTTGTATTGTTTTACTTTTTATTATTTTGATTTGTAGAGTTTTGCTTTATCCCAATAAAAACAGGTTTGAATACCAGTGACTCAATGGCATAGCTTGAGCAGAAATGCATCTGTTAACTGCTTGAAATTGAGAGAAGGACTAATAGCAAAGTATTTTTTTAAGTAAAGGACCCATCATACTGTTATTAGGATTAGTGCAATGTTAGTAATACGGACTACCAAGTGGCGTGGTGCTGCATTACGATGTTGGCTGCTAATCTTTATTTCTATATGTTAAAGATACCATAAAGTCTTTTTGGAAAAAATCAAGTTACTATAATCCTGCAGTTATAAAAGACAAGATGAGCACACCTGGAATTTTGCCTTTGGTTAAGCGAGATTAGGACTTGGATTTTAGAACAAAGACTAATCCCGGTCCCTAAAGAAACAGTCCTCTAGACAGGAAAATGAGTCTTGTTTCACTGCACACACAGAAAAAGATGCAAGGAGGCAAAGGAATGAGCAGTACCGGGAAGTGATCATCTATGCTGGCTCCTGGGAGAATTGTTTTTCCTTTTCCCAAGTTTAAAAGCAATCTCCTAAAGCCACTGAAATCACTTGAGGTATATCTTCAATTCATTTCAATTGTCACAGTTCCGTTCCATTCAGCACAGTGGTATTAATTTTCATCACCTCACTGCCTGAACATAAATCTTTATTACATCAATTAATGAGTTTCATTTTTCCTTTCCTTTGATGTGTTTTGTGAGAATGCAGTATACATTCAGTCACATTTTCAGGGCACTCTATGAGACATTTGGCATGCAATCCTCGATATTGTAGCTATGCTGCTTTCAGGCCTACTGAGTTATTTGTGCCATACTCAATGAATAAATGTCTTTTTGTTCTGGAGCTGTTCTGTAGTACTCCAAGTTGTATCCTGACAATACACCAAGATCACTAGGTGGTCGGAAATAATGTCTTAATGGGAGGAAGCAAGACAAGGATGAAAAATGCCATTTTCTTAACTTGAAGTTGTTATGTTCCAAAAATGAACAACACATTTAGAGGTCATATGTAGATCAGATGTTATCCTAAATTAACATATTTTTGGACAAAAAACTGCATGCAGTTTACTTCATGTGGTTGCAAGCAACACTAGCAATATACTTCTAACAAAATAGGAGGAAAAAGGGATACTGAAGAGGAAGACATGAGTATTATGTCCTAAAATTAAAGTACTTTGATTCAAAAGGCAGTAAAATACTTTACCCATTCAAGATACAAACTGCAGCTGTGTTCTTAGAATTATAGAATAGAATCATACAAACATTTAGGTTAGAAATGCTAAAGTCTTAAGATGATTGACCTAGCACTGCAAGTCCACCACAAAACCATGTCCCTAAGCATCATGTTTATTGATGCTACCAGGTGAAAAGATTCACTAACTTCCAGATTTATGTTTCATAGCAGGAGAGGTGTCACTAGAACAAACATCTGTTCAGACCGAATTGAGATTACAGAGCTAAGATTACATTATTTTGACAGAAGTTGCATGATATTTTTTGCAAACTTGTACCTCTCCATGTTAATCCTGGACTGCATTTAAATCCAAAGCACACTAACAAACTAAAAGATGTTTTTAATTAAGCCTGTATAAATTCTTTAATATTTGCAAGGATGAATGAAAAAAAAAAATACCTTTAGAATATTAGAGAACATAGTGATGAACTTATAAAAACCAAGCCTTGTCTTTTTCTGGAGAAATAAAAATAAAGGAACTGAAATTTATTTTTCAACTGATTCTGTACTGTTCTATCAAATGGCAAATGTTTAACATTGATTGAATATTTCTTAACCTGTCAGACTAATACTAATATCCCTTAAAAACTGACTAACAAATAATGTGTATCTTTGAAAAATGTCTAAATCATAGTGTCTGGAAACAGATTAATTACCAATTATAAGATTATTTTGTTTATTGCTTTAAATCAGTTTTTCAGAAATTTGTAGACACTGAAAAAATTCTAATTGTTGGTCTGTTCTAAAGCTTACTCCTTTACTAAATGGATAAAATCTGTTTCTTACAATGAAATCAATCTAGATCTCTCAAAATATTAGTACTAAGAGATCCCTAGAAGTGTAATATGTGCAAATAGAAAATTCTCCCTCTCAACTTTATTACTCTTCTGATAGAACTATATCATTGACTAAAGTCAATTAAACATTTAAAAAAATCTGGATTAGGAAACCTCCTCAGCCATTCCTTTTCTTCTGAATTGTGAGCAGAAGTGTGGTTGCAAGAGAGAATAATTATGTTCTTTATTTGCAAGTTTGAAGTTATCAATGTAATTTTTATTATGCAGTAATGCAGTTAAGGAAAAATAAATTTAAACATATATATAGATATAGATGATATATAGATGATATAGATATAGATATAGATATAGATGATATAGATATAGATATAGATATATTATCAAAATTTTGTGATGTAAGTAATCATTTGAAGATTACTGTTTTTATGCATGTCTTTATGACACACTGCCTGCTCCAAAGAAACATAATAAAAATAATGTTATATTGATGACTTTCAGATTGATATTTTTTGAAAAGACTTGCATATTAAAATAAACTTGAAGAAAAAGAATTAGAGATAGAATTAAGAAAATAAAAAATCAAAGAAATCTATTACACAAAAAATGGTTCATATGTAAAGAAGTAAGGAGTGCTAAAGTCATCACAATTTTGACACAATGATATGAAAAGATGATTTTTTAGACTGAAACACTGTAACTAAATCTGCATCACTCATCAAAAAAACGTTGAACAGATTGTATTATAATTTGTGTTAATTAAATCATATGACAGCACTTTTTGTGTCGTCATTCTTCAGAATCCGTATCTTAACAAGATAAAAAATTGTATTCCTATGTTAATATGCAATGAGATCTTGATGCTCATTTGATTTCCAGCAAAATTCTTACAATCCTCTACTTCAGCTGCTCTATTCTGATATGAGGTCCAGGGTATGTACATCCAAGGAATGAATGGAGAAAATTATCTTTGAGTCCTTAGAGGTAGATATTTTTCAGTTCATCTGTCTCTTCACACAGCAGATTTTCAAATATTCTGTTCACAAATTTATGGATTCTTTCATTGTTTTATATATTAAATGTTCTATAATTTGCTAATATTAAAATATTAATAAATAATATGCTAATATAATTTGATAATATTTTGAGTCCTTTCTCTTTATTTTAGTCAAACTAGTAGAAAGCTGTAAATTATATTTCTATGACAAAGCAAAAAATAAAAGCGAACATTTCAGCTTGAAATGTGCTAAAAACTGAGCAAAACACAACTACATCCCACCTAAATATTAAAGAAAAAAATAAAATTGCATGTATACAAACTGAGGAAAGTCTTATAGCATAAAATGACTATGCAACATAAGCTTTAAATAAGCACCCAAAAAAAACACCCAAAAAAACAGGTAGAAAAACACTAGTCTACATACATGTTCTTGTCTTTGAACCACTTATTTTTCTCCTTGAGTGTTTAAAACTCACTAAGAAATACTAGGCCTTTATCTCTATTATATCAAGGTCCTGAAAAATTATCAAGGCTTTTCTTTTATGTACTTTAATGTGTGTTCATTGCAATGACAAAAGTTTGTTAGTCTTTCAAAACAGAAAAGGTTTCACATCCCTATGGATCTCAGTGGATAACCTCACTTTTTTTTTTTTTACATAAAATAACACAGGATAAAGAAAACAAAATAGAAGATAATCAGGCCACTTATATTTTCTGAAAAGAAGAAGTAAATCTACCAGAGGGCAGATCCAAACAATAAAACCCAGGTACTTAGAGTGGAAATAAACAATATTTTCAGCTGGAGGGTGGAAACCTCCCTTTCTGAAAAGACAGAGAGAAGTCTTTCAGTGCATTAACTAACTGGGACAAGTACCTAAATGCCTTGTAATATATGTCAGGAAACTCAGCACAAGGTTTTAACGTTGTGGTACTTTTGTAAAATGTAAAATGTAAATGTAAAATGCTTAGAGGCCTATAGACAGTTACCACTGCTCTCCAATAAGAGATTTTATAACTTCATCATGAACAATGTATCTCCTGCACAGCTTCCTTTTACATGTGGTCTGCTGATGTCCACATAAGAATCCCAGTCATCTTTCAAATCGATCAATGCACCGATTTCTTTATTTCATCAGCAGAGATGAAATGTTAGGAGTGAAAGTAGCTCAAGAATATCTACTAAACTGACATGTCAAGTGCGACTAAATTCATTATACATATCATGTTTCAACTGCATAAAAATCCGTCTATTGTCAAAAAGTCTTATGCCTCTTTCTCAAAAGGCTTTTTTGACTTTGCAGCCTTTATGACCCATTCACTTTGTAAAAATAAAAAGTAATGCATTTGGGTTTC